CAACTCAGTTAACCATTAAATTAAGTACCTAGGTCTTCTGAGAGGCACTTGGAATTAGGGGATAGTTAGCATTCGGCTCTTCCTAGTCTAGGGCAGTGTTGGGAATTCAGACAGAGCAAAGTCTAGCTCTGTGTCTGTCTGTCTGTGTGGTGTATGTGTATATGTGTGTGTCTCGCTCTCCTTTTCTCCCTCACACACACATACTCTCTTTCTCTCTCTCTCACCTTGTGGTTGACTAGGTTCAAACTCTAGCCATCTTGATCATCTTTCCCCTTACTTGGGGGCTGGGTTTGATTGAAGTCAAGGTTTGCTGACTCTGGAAGTTATACTCATTTTCTTAATCAAAAGATTAGAAAAATGAAGCAAATATACTGAGCCTCAAACATTTAACAGCATATTATAGTTGGCTGTTTATTTGTTTGCTTGTTTCCAGGGTAGGCTCCACACCAGTGAGTGTTCTCTATCTCATTTGGTCGCCCTCCCAGTGTCTAGCATAGTCAGCATCTACTATTTGCTGAATGATTGTGTGTGAACAATTAAAAACAAATTCCATAAGATATCAGAATTGTTTCCAACATCTAAAGTCAGTTTTCTAGTTTGATAACAAATAATGTTAAACACAAACTCTTTTAAGAAAGAAATATATCCTAAGCTCCATAGTACTACTCTAAGCAATTGTAGTGAAAATTACATGTCTAGCCAGAAAGAATAACCTACTGATGGCCTAAGAAATGAAACCTGGTAGTGTTGACTTTGGTCTGCATCATTGTAATTTCATTTCTGAGTTTTACAAGTAAGCAATGAAAATGAATAAGACTGACTGGATTACATGTTGTTTATGGCTTTTGGGAGGTGGTCTCCCAGCTGAATCCATTCATTGACATTTTGCGGGAGGTGTTAATACATATCTTGTATCTTCTTTTTACTCAACCCTTTTGGCTCAACCAGAGATTGGAAAGACAGTAGATGCTGATGGCAGGAGTGTCCTCGAAGAGGCCAGTTAGATGAGGAGGCTGGCACGGTGCCCAGTGTTGAGACTCAGGAAGGTGTATCTGGAAAATCTAAAAATTACCGCCTGACACCAATCCTTTGTGAGAGCCCGAGAGAGGACTCCCTTGTTTTAAGTGAGGTTGATCTGCTTGTTATTGAACATTTCTGAGTACTCCCATTCAGGTGGTAATGGAGAAAATGAAGAAGGTGGCTCCTCACCCTCTTCTGCTCTCATCCATCTGTCCAGTGCTGACAGCTCATTGACTTCTCCGGTTGTTGCTCCTGAGCTTCTAAGAGATGTCACTGTCCTTTCCACACAAAGATGAAGACAACTGGAGTGGCCAAGGCAGGACAGTCATTCACAAAGGGATGTGTGTCCAGCTCCCTACCACGCCCTCCACCATGCTGCCCAGTTCCTGGTGACTGGGGACCATTCTCCTCCCCACAAATGGAGGCTCCTTCTGTTCTCAGGTGTCCCCAGCAACTTGGAATCCCTTATAGGCTGCTTTCTCCTTCTCCCAGTCTGTGGGTGAATTGCGGGGTCCGTTCACCTCTGCTTTCCTAAACCCCTCAATTTCCTCTCTTACCCTTGTGTGTCCAGGATTCAGCTCCTCAAAATTTGTTTAAAGGGTCTAAGTTACAAATAGGAGAAGGCAGCACATGCTAGTTAGAAGGTGTCTGAAACTTAAGGAAGAGAGGAAGGAAGGAGGTAAGGAAGAGAGAAAGGAAAGAGTTGTTCAGAAAATGATGAATATTAAAAAGGCTTTTTCACTCATATTGCAAACACTAAAGTTCCATTAAAAAGATATAATTATTAAAAACAGAGGTTATAAACATTTTGGTTTTTCCTTAATTGGCCCTTGAGCAGACCAGGTGACTCACCACTGGTCTGCTGAGATCAGCCTGCAGCCTGGGGAGCTATAACAAATTCGTATGGCTTATACTGTTTAACATGCAGCTTAGTGTCGCATTATTCTCACAGGAACTTCTTTACTATAAACTTGTCTATAAATCTACGCACTTCATTAATACCTAAGTGACATGTACTACCGTTCACCGTTAAATATACCCCAATAAAGATACCACAGGGGCCGGCCCCGTGGGGTAGTGGTTAAGTTCGGCATGCTCTGCTTTGGTGGCCTTGGTTCTCGGGTTCAGATCCTGAGTGCAGACCTACACCACGTGTCAACCATGCTGTGGCAGCAACCCACCTACAAAACAGAGGAAGACTGGCACAGATATTAGCCCAGGGCGAATCTTCCTGAAGCAAAAAGAGGAAGATTGGCAACAGATGTTAGCTCAGGGCTAATCTTCCTCAGCAAACAAAAACAAAAACAAAAAAACACCAGAGTTTGCTTAGTCATCTCCAAATGTTAAGAGATTTCAGTGGTTTCTCCCTTTAATGCCATGATTAATGCAGCTGTACTCCCTTTATCTCAGTAGAGATGAGTTTTTGTTTTTCTAATGTATTTCTTTGTTTTTTTGGGTGCATGTTTATGCACAAACAGGAGGCTTTATACGTTCATTTTTCTGTGTTTGTTTCTATATTATTGTCCGAAAAATGATTTGCTGGGTCAAAAAACACGATCAGTTTTATGGCTGTTATTGGCTTTTGCTAGATTTAAAAAAAAGAATGGGGTGATTTTTCCAGTCACTTTCTGGTCACTTGGTCGATTTGCACTAAATACTTTTTGGTGAATTACTCTTTTCTTTTAAAAGAAATCCCCTTACAGAACCTTCCAAGACGAAGTCCAAGGATGTCCTCATTCCAGGCACAGCCATCCTATCGTGTGGATAGCTCCTGGGTTCTGGGGCCATATCATAAAGATGACTCTGTGGTCTCCCAGTCCTAGAAACTCACAGAACAGTAGTCTTGTTTGAATAGCATAAAAGGCCAAAGATCCTGTTGGAAAAAAGCCCTAGGTAGACTGAGTTAAAAAGATTCATTACTAGTCACTTTTCTTTTTAAAAAATTTCTAGTCATTTTTAAACCCTGGTGATACAGCAACAATTCTTGCTTAATCTATGGTACCTCTCATATAGACAGATAATTACATTTGTGGATCTGCTTAGACCCTGTCTTGTTGTAAAAGGGATTTAGTTTCTAACTACGTTATTCATGTTGAGTAAACGCTAAGAGAAGCGTGAGCAGAGTACACGCAAGCTTGGGGGGAGATTTTACTAAGGAAGTGAGATTTGAGCAGGTCTTTGAAGGATGATGGGTTTCAGCACATGGGCAGAGAAGAGGCTGGTTCGGGCAGGGTATTGCAAGATATGCCGAAGAGTTTGGATTTCCTCTTGTGTGGTGCTGTTGAAGACTTGAAAGCAGCAGAAGAGCAGAAGTCTGAGTTAGTACAATGACCTTTTATTTTACAAAGGTCTCATGAGAAAAACTTGCCTGATCAGAATGAGACAGAGATGAGGCGATTTTTAATGGGGCTGGGGGTGGGGAGGAGGATAACCAGACCGGGTCATTCGAAGTGGGGGAAGGCCTGAATAAAGGACTATTTCGGGAGAGCCTAGAAACCACACCGGCATCCCAGACACCTAGGCTAATAGAGAAGAGGGTGGAACGAGAAGAATCATGAAGAAGAGTAAGGCAACAGAAGAGAAACTTAGTCGGCTCATTTTTGAGTAGGTAGTAGGACTACCACAGTGAAGGGTTAGTCCTGCTCTCAGTGACCTATTGCAATTTTATGAATTCCCACTCATTCCAAAGGGTGTAGGAAGCGGAAACGGCTCCCACTCTGGTTTGACTGGCTTTTGATAAGTGACGAGAAATGCCAAAGGGAAGCGCCTCTACGTGGAGATTCAAGTCATACGCCAGGGCCAGCTTAGGAGCTAGGGAAGGCTCTGAAGGCCTTGCACAGGGGGCTGCTTTACCACCTGGGTCTCTGCAACTGTGTAGCAGTTGTTCTCCGCTCAGCAAACCTGAGGACAGTGAGGTATTGTGACCAGGGCCCAGTAATTCTGAGCAGGCCTCTTTTCACCCTGCCCACATGGAAGACTGTCCTTCAGATGCTAAACCAAGGACAGATCTTGATACAATAATCTCCGTGTTGAATAGGACTTGTATCTTGTCCATAGCTACTTTTGGAACAATTTAGTCCAGATTTGTGTGAGTGAGTAGCCCCCACAAGCCTCCACCTGGCTGGGGGAAGCCCCTGCTGCTCTGGGGAATTTAATTGCCACTTGTCTGTTTTGGGGCCTGTTCTATTCAGGTCGGTATGACCAAAAAGCTGACATTTCTGTAGCAGCAATAAATGAAGTCGTCTGAGCTGATGAGGTATCCCGGGCCAAGTATGGAGAAGACAGGAGGGCAGTTCCCACAAGCCTCCTTTGACTGTCTCAAGCCAGAGCCTCTCCTTATTTCCTGGTTAAGGAAGGATGCAGAAGGTCTGCCGGGAGCTACGTATTTCTAGCTATAGTTCTGAAGGCTGGGTGTCCGCCCAGGCAAGTGGTAGCATTTTCTATGCGAGCATGGCTGCTTGCTCTCTAGAATGGTGTTTCCTTTCTCAGACACGGACACGCCTGTTTTGGAGGGAGGAACAGACCATCGCTTCTACAACCTTTGTCAACTACATATAGAAAAATGAACTCAGGGCTGGAGTGCAGAGCTACACGGGGGTGAATTGAAGCCCCGGTATCAGGAACTGCAGGAGAAGGCGGGCTGTAAAGTTAACCCCTCCTTTTCATCCTCACACAGCTACCTTCTGAGTGGCTTCATTTCTGCCAGGAGCCCAGAGCGTCATTTAGTGAGGGGACTACACAGAATTCGAAGTGCTCCCATATAAATGACCTCGGCTGAGGATGAATGGAATCCGCAGTGACGAGTCAGTCGTGGGGCCAGGTCTGCCTAGGGCCGGTCCTGTCCTCCGTCCACCCCCCGGGGCGTTTCAGCCGGGCGCGGCTGGAAGGGCAGATGCCAGAGGGGGCTCTGTCGCGCCGGATCCAGCTGCTGAGCTGGTCTGAGGGAGGAGGCACTCTGCCAGGGCGCCGCAGGTCCCGGGGTGGCTGACGCCGTCCGGGGCGTTCCTGGCAGCTGGGGGCCGGCGAGGTTAGACCCGAGGCCCGGGAGGAGCCGGCGGGCGGCCACGTGACCGACCGCGGCGGGGCCCAGAAATAGCAGCGGCGGCGGTTCCGCCCGCGGGCTGGAGCGAGGGAGAGGCGGAGACTGGTGGCCGCCGGCTCGGCACGGGCGCGGCCCCGGAGGATGCTGAGCCCCTGCCCGGCCCGGCCCCGAGCACATGATGGCGATACGGGAGCTCAAAGTGTGTCTTCTCGGGGTGAGTCCTGCGCCGCCGTCCCGGGGACGGCCTCGTCCCCTGCGCCCCCTCCTCGTCCCCGCGCCCCCTCGTCGCCCCCTCGTCCCCCACAGCCCCCTGGCCCGTGCACCCCCTTGGTCTGTGCGCCCTCCTGGCCCGTGCGCCCCCTGGTCTCCCGCGCCCTCCCTAGTCCGTGCGCCCCTGCGGCCCGTCCCCCCGTCCCAGCCGTGCTGCGGTCCGAGTCCGAGCCTGCCTCGGAGCTTTCTCGATTCGTTCTACCCTCGCTGGCCGGCCGGTTTCCCGGGGTCCGCTCGGGGCTCGCCGCGCCCGGGGCAGTGCCAGGCGGGGCGCCGGGACCCTCCGTGAGGCCAGAAGAGCGGCGGCCGGTCCTGGCCACGGCCGCGGCCCCTCCGGCCTCGGAGGGCTTTCTCCTTCGCCTTTGATAATTTCCTTCCGGCGGAAACTTTAAGTTACTCAGCCAAGGCGCCGAATCCTTTTTGCCTCCCGGTGGCAATTGATTTATTCACTTTTTCTTTAAAGAAAGCCCAACCAAGGGTGAGAAAACGCGAGGGGAGGACCCGACTGGAAGGTGAAGAAACTAGACTATAGAGGATTGCGCCCAGAAAACTTGCGTGCTCCGGAGAAAGGCGGGATGAGAAAGTCCTCTCCTCCCGCCACTTCCCTCCCAAAGTGGGTCTTTCTGAGCCTGAAGAAACGTGAAAGAAGCCAGAAACAGAAACAAACCCCCTAGCCGGGGGACTGGCAGACCTGTCAGATGACGCCCCAGGGAGTTCAGCAACGTGAAGAGTCATTTCCTTTTGGGTGCCCACGTCAAATTCCAAAATTACTTCTTTTGAAAGAGCTGGTTTTAAGCCGAGTTTTTAGCAGCCTTTGGCATCGATGCCTAGTGTACTGCCCTTGGCAAATCTGGTCTCCCAAGAAAACCGCCTCCTAAACAAAGAGCAGGAAAAGCTAGACCCGTTCTTGTTTGTCTGAAAGAAATGCTAACTGTCCCGTCAAGATGGACGTACAAGACAGCGCATAAAGAGGAAATGGTTCTAGGTTAGGATTGAATTGTACCAGACCAAGGGCACCCCGTCTAGGCTCTTCTGGAACCTTTGCAGGACGGTGTTCTTGACTGTCTCCCATCCCTGTCCTTTCCAGAACTCCATTTACATTAGATTGTCTGTTTCCTCTAGAATTCCAGGGGATCTGACAAAGGTCCTGGCTTCCATGTTACCTCAGCACAAACTACCCTTGAGGGGTGGGGGTGGTGGTGTTCCCACCCCCATGGCTTGCTCAGCCACAGCTAGGATCTGGATAGGATGCTGCTCTAGTCTTACTCTGTTGACCTTTATCAGTGTTGCAGGAGCAGGTTTCATTGTCTGCCTGGCTCTCCAACACAGTCCAGATGTAAATTCCAGGATTCCCATCTTTTCCTTGTGAGGGGTCATTTCAGCCTCAGGGAAGGCCTTCAGAGACGTAGAAGGAATGCCATGTCCCGAAGATTGGTGTTGGGAATAAATGAAGTATGAAATGTTTTGCCTTTTTTTCCTCCATGCTCTCTCTCTTGTCGTCTACTTAGGTGGCACCAGCCCTGCCCCATCGCATGAATTATTTTCGATTTCACTGCTTAGGGATGAGTCTCTCCATCCTTCTACAATGAAACAGATCAGGTGGAAAGAGCCCCGAGTGAGAAGGCAGCAAACCTGGGTTCCCATTCTTTCCCGCTCATTAGCTGTGCAGTTTTGGACAAGTACCTTAGTTGCCTCATCTATAAAATGGACATAACATCTTATTTTTTAAGGCAGAGGAGTATACCAGATGATCTCCTGAGATACATGGTGCCATTTCCTGCTAACCTATGATCCCAAGGTGACAGTTAGCAAGCCTGGGAGATGAGAAAGCTGGAGGAAATCTCTTACTTCTTTTTCTCTTATCTCTAAGAGTGAAACATACTCTGTTAGTGGCTTCCTGGACACGGTGCCTCACCTCGTTGGCTAGTTCTTTGCAGTGACTCTGTTGGTAGGAGACTGGAAAGGAAGAACAGTGCCAAAGCAGAGCAAGAAGGTATTTCTGGGCAGATGGAGGCTTTGAAGCATCAATCATATCACACCACATTCGTGGCCATCTGTTTTTGAGTGGCTCTAGATTTTAGTCTTATTGAGGTCAGAGAATATCTTATTTGGAAGGGCCAGTGACCTCATTATCCACACTGAGTAATTACCCCCATTTGGCTAGTCCTTTCCTGGGCAAGATGTGTGTGACAGGCTGTATTCTCAGCTGCTTATCCAAATAGGGCGATTCTCTGGGTGAGGTGGTATTCGGGTAAGGCCAAAGCCGGTTTAACTGCCTTGGGTTTCCTCTCCTGATCTGAGAGAGAAGGCTATGGGTCAGTGGCTGGAAGAGGCAGTCAACACCAAGTCCAAAAGTCCTCTCAGAATTTTAACAGGAACCCCAAGCTCCTTTGTTCTTTGTGTCTGGATGTCTGTCTTTTCTGGATGAAGTCTTGCATGTGGCTAGCACTCAGCTTCCTGTTTTTCAACCACTGCCACACCTCCCTGAAGTCTCAGTATGACCAAGACCCTAGCAGCCACACCCATTGTTGGCATCACTTTCTGTCGGGCCCCCTTGAGAAGGTGATAGAGAATGGGGACCTCCTAGCTGAAGTCTTCCTGTCTCACTGGAGAGGCTGAGGGGCCAGTCTCTGTGTCTGGTTGATTGCCCTGACTGCTCAGTGATGACTTGGGGACGTGCTTCCCATTTCAGGCACAAGGTTGTTTCAGGCCCGGGCAATGCAGACTTCTCTCCTCCTTAGCGGTAGTCTCCTGATGGGGGTCATTTGCATTAGGTGGAAGAGAGAGTGGGCCAGGTGGCGTGTCTTTTCTCCCTGTACCTGTGCCTTTCAGAACCCTGATGTTAGGCATGTCTGATCTTATTGCTTTTGGTGAGTGCTCCCAGATGGGATTGGACAACAGTCTGTGGAACATTCTCTGAATGCTTTGTGCTCTTGGAAAAAACCAAAGACTCAAGAGCACTGGGTTTATTTAGGCTACCTGTTATAAATTCTTGGCACTCATTGTTTTCATGGGTGGACTTTCTCATGTTTGTCCCAAGCCTTTGTGAATGTCCTTAACTGGGATAAGCCGGGCCATTCGTGGAAACTAGCCACGCAGGAGGGTGTGTTTGACAGGGGTCCTTGTTGGACATCTAGAACCCCATGAGTCTTGTTTTTGCCAATAAAGTGCCAATAGGCCTCTTTTGTAATCTTAACTAGTATTATGAAACATGTAGCTTAAAAACAACACCCTTAAAAACAGCAAAGTATGTTAAAAAAAAACTAACGAAAACAATATTGAGGCAGCAGCTGTTCCAACCCCAAAGGTGGAAAGCTTCCCAGTATGCATTTTAACTCACATCACCACGTGGCAAAAAGCAAGAGGAGAGAGGGAGAAGGGAGAGGAGCGGGGGAGAGGGGAGGAGGAAGGGAAGAGAGGATCTTTTCTTTTATTATCTCCCCTGGGTGTGTGTGTTCGTACACTTAACAACTGCTTCCGGATGGAATCCCAAAGAGATTTATATTTGGACTTGGGTTGTCTTGACAACAGTTTGGAGATTTCTGCCACTTCCTCAACAGCTGAGTGACATGACTAAAAGATAGCTGAGGGCGTCCCTGCTTCTGGTAAGGAGCTTGGCAAAGCCTCTCCTTTTGGCCTTTGATAGAATCTGTATGGTGGTTCATCACAGAGCAGTCAAATACCTGGGATGTGGTGTGACATCTGGGCAGTGGGGACCAGTATATGGGCCTTTACGTGAAGGGGCTGTGTGATCCCTGACGGCCCTAGGACCCAAGAGTGGGACAGATTTCTGTTCATAGCGAGGCACGTCAGTCAGAGCTGTGGAACCTCACATGGTGAGCGACAGTGAGCGCTCCATTACTGGAAGTATTCAACCAAGTGATATGAATCTGTTAGGGTTATTGTGGAAGGACGAATGCATAGGATGGGGAGGAGTGGGTGAGGTAACCATCAAAATTGCTTCCCAAGTCTGAGATTTTGTTGACACACTCATTTTTTCTTCTTTCCAGAAACTAGCGTATCTCTTGGGGGCGTGGAGGGAGGCTAGCAACGTAATTTATTTCTTACCAAACCTGATTCCTCTAGTAAATGGAACCCCTTGTGGAAAGTGTGGTTCAGTGTTGGTGACGCTGGGTAGAGAATGAATATAAATGACCTAGTGGGATGTCCTCCAGCAGTGCCCAGGCCAGTTGGTGGAAGCCCTCAGGGTCCCTCTGTTCCTGTTCTATTCAGGGTCAGCACAGCTGCATCTCTCTCAGCCGTCAGAGCTCAGTGCACCTCTGGTGTGTGTGTCAGAATCATTTGTGGCGCATTTCCACCTCCCGTGGTCCCTCCCCACCCTCGTCTGTAGCTCTCAGGCTGTGCCCACCTCTGCCCTGGCCCACTGTCCCTGTTGTAGTGACTGTGTTGTATCCCTCAGGTCAGCTTCAAGGCCATAGCCATTGGAAAATAGAAAACTTTACATTTTAAGCTGCTAGGATATAAAAAGATTTTGAGCTCATGCATTAGAAAAGGTCTTCAAATTTAATCGTGTCCAACAGGTTAAACTAATTTTGATGCTTGCATGTCTATGCAAATATTACACTTTCATTTGTCTTAGTTTTTATAATTTATAATACGTGCTTGAAAATGGAATAGCCATTCATTCGCTCAACCCTTCACCATTTATCGAGCGCTTCTCTTGTACTGGGAGCTATGGGTGGCTGCAGGTAGGCAGGACAGCGTGATCCCTGTTTTCAAAGAGTGCCCTGTCTTTCCTGGGATGTGGACACACCACCGTGAACTCACCCACAGTGCTTGTGTTCCTGCACATTGCTTGACTGCACTTACCAGCGAGCCATGCACCACAGAAGTAACAGTGTGTGGTGATGATAAATAGCGACTGTCTTCCATCTTATTAGACATGAGGGTAGTGAGGGACAGAAATTTTTTGCACGAGGTCTG